AGAGAAGTCCTACCAAAAAGCATTTTCTTATAGAATGGATGGAGGAGGATGAAGCAGAGAAACAAAAGATTTTTGGAACACCTCTAACAGAGGGCAATTTTGAAAGATTTTATTGTCATTCAGATATGAATCTTTCTGCTAAGAGCTAAGCGTACTAAAGACAGTCAGCCTTCCTTAGGGAAGGAGTTACTCACTTCATGCCCATGCCGTGATTCAGGAAAGAAAAGACGAACTAGATATGTCTATAGTACCACAGCAGTAATAATGACCGATCAATAGAAAGACTCTACCCTTGTCATATATTTCATACATCACACTAGATAGATATCCTATTCATGGAATAGGATGATCAGGTCATGTAAGAACAAGGTTCAAGTCTACCGGTCTGTTAGGATGCCTCAGCTGCATACATCACTGCACTTCCACTTGACACCTATCGTAATGATAAAGGGGATGAGGTTCGATGATGTAGTTTCCCCCATAACTAACATAAGGCCAATCCTACCAAAAGGGGCTGATGCTTTTCTGTCCCGCGAAAAACGAGAATCAAACATTAGTGGGCACCGTGTACTAGAGGGGAAACCTGCTCATTTCATTAGGCTACTACCCGTGCGGCCCTGCTGATTAGCAGTTCCGTCCTGTCCTGGGTCTCTTAGTTGCTTCTTCCCGAGTCTCAATAGCTAAAGCGAGCCTGTTATATAAGCAGATGTGTGTGGATTCTGCTAGAGTCAGAGTTGCGTCAAGTGCAGATGTCCAATTCCATGGCTATGGGAACGGGCGGAAGAGCTCTCACTCGGATGGATGGCAAGAGAGGACCTGAATGGGAAGGAAAACCAGCGCTTAGTGTACAAACTAGGGGATGTAAACAAATAGCACGCCCCTCGACCAAAACGGGCTGGAATGCCTGTATGCCCAATTTATGCAGAGTGGGTGCTCTATTCAGTAATACAGGATGCCCCTGCATAACTTCCTGAAGTATTTCCCACACAATCAGTTCTTTTTCCCGAATTTGACTTTTAGCAACTCCTACGCTCGAAGCAAGATGTTGTCTAATTAGACCATCCTGAATCATCTCATTTTTCAATTATTGAACCTTTGCCTTTTCACAGGTTCAACGTTAGCCAGATTAGTCAACATTTATATGTTTCGAAGTAAAGTGAGGCACTCTTTCTTTCTGGCTATTTGGCCTTGAGCATCAATCCCATTCCTGGATATCAGGACTATTGATTCAATTGGCCATCATTTGGATTAGTGGAATGAGGGATGCTGATAGGATAGGGGGGAATGGCCTATCAATCATTGGTGGACCTTCCCTTTTTCCAGTCACGGAGCTCTCTCCTTTTTTGATTATATAGATGGGGTTCTGGAATTGAATCTCTAGTGGGGGGTTTCGATTCCAAGACAAACTCTTGTTAGGCACTGAGTTACTTACGGAATCTCAAATCTGCATCCGTCCAATGCATTTTTTTTCGATCTTCTATGTTGGTACACTGAACACCAACCAAATTGAGAAAGGAGAGGAAGGTTGGACAATTATGCCATTCTACAGAAGTCTTCTACAGAATAAAAGCCTGTATAATTACAGGAGGGATGTTCAGTACCGATTCTTATAGTCCTGTTAGGGGAGTCAATAGGCTAATACCTCCTTTATCACTGAGCGATCATTTAGGGGCCTTAGCTGGTGATCCGGGCTGTTTCCCTCTCGACGATGAAGCTTATCCCCCACCGAGATGGCCTATACACCAATTGACCGACACCATTCCTGAAGAAACGAAGATCGTTGCAAGAAGACCCCCCACCAAGACGTGTAAATGGCAGAAATTTGACAGCAGTAGAACGAACCTTGGGCTTGACATGACAGCACCTCGCGGCTCCCTTTCAAGATGAACAATGATCCATGGTTTGGATGAAGCTATGTACCCGGGTAGAGATGATTTGTCTCAAAGATGTTCCGCTCATCCAAGAATCTGAAACTTCATCTACATAAACTCATAAATAGCCCTTTCCTTTCTTTTCATCTTTTATCAAGTCTTCCTTCTGGGAGGTATAAGCCCGGAGCCTCAAAAGGGGGAAGGTTGAACGAAGTCGAATGAAATGAAGCAATTCCGAGCTTTCATAGGCTTGCGCTAGACATAGTCGGAAAGTCCTTTCGATGTTTTCCAAACTCAACGGTGGTCTTACAGTCATCCAATTCATAAGTCTTGTATGTCCTCCCTTGGCTTGGTTACCCTTTTTCGGGAACTCACTGGCGACTCTTGACTCGCTATGGAATAGGAAATTCATTGGCTCGACACCAAAAGTGCGTGGTGAGAGAGTAGGTGGTGCCTCTGGTTTAGTACTTTATGCAGCACTCTTTGTCTTGCGGGGCATCATCCTTGAATTTCTTATTCGTGATAGCCTAGCCGCATAGTTGGGTTTTCTCTATTCGGCAGCGAACAAGGAAGCGGCGATGGGCATCCACTCGCTGACATTTCGTCAATGTCCGATAGGCATGTTTTACGCAGAAAGCGTCATGCTCTTTTAACTGGGAAGAGAC